TTTGTTGCTACTATTTTCTCTGTCTTCCTCAAAATGCCTATTCTTTCCTGCTTTCCCAGGTCCTCTTTTAAACCTCTCACTCTTTTGTATTTCTAATATATTTTCTGGAGATGCCATGTAGTCAGCCTTATTGCTGAATCAGTGTTATCCGCAGCATGTGCTCTGTTGCTCATTTTTATTACAAGAAAGACTGTTTGATTCCCTTTGCTGTAATCTTTAAAGATCATGCTGCTGTTAGTGACTAGGGCTAGAAGACAAGAATTTGGATACTCACCAGGTCTGAAAGGAAACCAGCCATTTCCCCTTGAAAACCTGCCTGCTCTGAGAGCCCCTGTCAAGTCTGTCAGATGAGAGATATGTTTTCTACACTTAGATTATAAGAAGTTGGGATCATAGCACAGAAGTTAAATTCTAACTATGTGGCCTTTAGTGAATTGTGTCCTCCTCCAACACTGGCCAGGGACTCTTCTTGCTGGTTTAATTATTGTAAGACCCAGATATGCCAAGCTGATTATAACATTGGTAAATGTTTATCCTTGTATTGGGAGCATTCCCCCCTACTTGCACTGCTAAAATGACTGTGTGTTCCTGTTGTGTGAGGAGCAGGTGGTGCTACCATCTTTCCTTCAGGGGAGCAGAGTCCCTCTTCACCTCTCTGGCATGCCTCTGCTTAAGTAGAGTGTGTTTTCCTTCTCTCCAGTCTACTAGAGAGATAAGCCACTTCATGTTGCAGCTGAGCTGTAATGCCTGTCTTCTTGCACGCTATACAACTTTTGGTTGCTTGAAGTGATTTGAACAATTTCCCAGTTGCAGGACATGAAGTATCTGAATATGGGCATGGAGAAGGAGCCTGGTCCTTGCTAACACCTAGTTTTTATAGAGGGTCACGCTGTTTCCAGAACCACTCAGAAGCCTCACTATTACCTCTCTATAACAATGGAGATGGCCCAGTGTGTGCCAGAGACGGATGCTCATTCTGTTCTGGCTTGAGAGTTGATTTTAAGAAGTATTTTCACCTTAAAAAAATTGATTTTGAATCAACTAAAGACTTGACTATTTACAAAGAGTGTAAGTTAATTCTTGTTTCTTTCAGGCTTCTATATATTACACATAACATTTTGTACTACACTGAGTACAACATAGTTCACTCTATGCTACAAAGATTTAACTGCCTATGCTTAGTGCCAAAAGGGGAGGTGGGAAGGTGGAGTTATGGTTCTGAAGGCAGCAGAAACTTTGCTCAGGAGCACGGTGGAAGGACTGACATTTCTCCTACAGTTTCCTTTTCACGTTACAGTGACTGACAACAGCCCCATGCTGTCCCCTGGGCCATGTGCTGTGCAGCACAGGGCAAGCTTGCTGAGTCACACCTTGACCTTCCTCCTCATTATGTCCCAGTAACACTCTCTCTCCAAACCCTCTGCCCGGGTGTCTTGTTGCACATCAGTACAGTGAAATAATTCAAGGAATTCTTCCTTCCACTCATTCAGTTTTCATTGTTCCTGAAATCTTCAGCACCTCCACATCAGCTATGGTTGTGTATTTAATTTCTTCCCCGCTCAACATAGACTCCTCAAATGTTATCACTTCATCTTCTAAAACACCCCAGAATCTGCCTTTCTCTTCAATCACTACTGCAAAAATCCCTGTCTTTGTTTAGGTTTTCTCTTGCTTCTTTACAAATTCCTCCTCTCAGTCTCTAGTCACTTCAACATTGGCCACTGCCCTCCCCTCAGCCAAGGATTTTGCTGTCACAGAGAAGAGAGCAGCCAGATTGTACAGCTGTCCCCTGTCCTCTCTTACCACCACCACCTACTTTATCTTCTAGGATCAGACCAGAACTGTGTCCAGCACAGTATCCCAGAGCTGTCAGTCGCAAATAGCAGTTGTAGGCAAAGCATAAGAACTGAGCAAGTGTGCAGTGATGCTTTCCCTGTGCGTCTTCCAGGCCCCAGTGATGCGCAACCCTGAGACTTTGTCGGTCAGGATGGTGTCTTTATATTTGCTTCTTCCACGCATTTACTGAGGTCCTCCTTGAAATCTTGTAAACTTTTGTTGTTCCCAACTCCTGTGGCGGAAAGGTCTAATGAGATACTTGAACAATCCAGTGTTGCTCCTTGCTTTCTGTCAGGACACACTAAAAGCTACTTTTGAAATAATTACCCCTCTCTTTTGCTGTTTCTCTCATTTTATCTTTACTTTACTTTTAACTTCTTCTGCTTTCTGCACCAAATTTGTATGTCATATCTCTGTTTCCAGACCAGACCTTTTCATGCTGTACTGTCCCTTGCAAGTCCATTTTTATTTTTCTTTTCCGTCTCAAAGGGGTTCTGCCAGACTAACGGCAAACCATTTTTCTAGACTCAGACAGCTGGGTTCAGGCACCTTAGAGTGGGGCCATGGGCAGGGAGCAGATGAGCCTGAATGAACTAGAGGGGAAAGGAGGATTTGTTCTTTGAGCTGACGATGGAAAGCTTGGCTGCTGGAAGGAAGGACACACATGGCAGCTCTGGGTCTTTCTGGAGGGGCTTTTAAACACTCTGTCTGTGGCCAGATTTTAACATCTTGTTGATCAAACAGTCCCTGTAGAGCCCTGTTCCTCTTCCTCCTGCTGTCTGTGTTTCTCCCAGAATACTAATACTGCTGTCTCATTCCTACCTGGCCTCACACTTTTGTTCAGTGCTGTAATATGGAAAAACCAAGATTTTAATGCCTAGTATAGTTCTTATTTTCCTAAAGAAGAGGACAGGACGATTCTTTCCACCTAGGATTTGAACACTACAAGAAATGTGCTTATTCCAGACCCAGTACTTAGCTCACCCAACACCCTTGGCTTGGAGGCATTTCATTTTCAAAGATGCCATGTGTTGCGCTTGTGTGATCCTGGAAATCAAATAGATACACTGCAGATTAACATGTACTTCTTTAACCTTTATTCCCAATCCATGTTAGTTTACGGCAGTGTTAATGATTTACCACTCTTT